CTACTCCTACTGCTACTTCTTTCATCTAATTATTTGTATCTATACCAGGATATTCAAAAAAGTTTGTGGAAAATGGCATTAAAAGACAAGTTTATTTGGGTGCAAAAAAATCAGAAATCCATACATGAGAGATTTTCAAAAAGTTCATGGAAAATGCATATCATGAAACACCTATGCATGGATTTCAAGGTGTTTTTTTTGCACCAAAATAAACTTATCTTTTCATTCCAATTTTTCTTGAACTTTTTGAAGTACCCTCACATATCCTCTCCACCCCCCAGGGCAAGGATTTGTCTCCCTACTTATGCCCAGTCGTGTGTTCATTCATCGGCAGTCATTTATGGGGTACCTTCTATGTGTTGGGATAACACCAGGCTACTCCTACAGTAGGGCGTGTAGGATTGCAATGAGCAAAACGGCTGGGGGTCAGAGGCCATCTGGCCACCCAGCGTCCTTCCCAGGCCAATGAAAGTGATGAACCCGTGGCCGCGCTTCATTGGCTCTGACGCCAGCTTGGACCTCTTGGCCGGCGGTGACTTCCCTTGCATCCCATGCAGGTGGTGACGATGCCAGAGTATCTGCAGAAGCGGTTTGGAGGCAAGAGGATCCAGATCTACCTTTCCATTCTGTCCCTGTTGCTCTACATTTTTACCAAGATCTCGGTGAGTCCACCGCCTCAGGGGCTGGACACTGGCTGTTTCAGAAACTGCCCACTATAACCCCAGGACAAGCTGCCCCCGCCCTGTGGAAGTTCTACATATTTCTACTTCTCTTTCCCTTGAGCCAAGCCTCTGTGCTTTTGCCGTTACTTGGATGACCCTTCTTTTGGGTTAGTTTTTAGTTACAGGATGAAAACACTGGAACTCTTAGCTCCTGGCTTCAGCTTGCAAGGTGGCACCTGTCTGAGGCGCACTTTGAGAAGGTCACTGGGCTTTTCCTTCTCAGAGGCAAGCATTCTCCAAGTCCACAGTTCAGGCAGGCGAAAGTCTGTCGATGGTGGTTGCCATGGTGAGGGCACTCTTTGCCCTCGGAGCTGGTGTAGGGGTAGTCATAGAAAAACCAAAGTGCCAGCGTCTCTCCCTGCCTTCTCTATGGCCTCACCTACTTTTCAGGTTACTGATTAAACCTCCTTGGACTTGGGAGCCCCCAGGTAGCCGAGGGGCAGCCTTGTTCAGCTGAGATCCTGATGGGGCACATTCTCCAGCAGTCAGATTTTTCTAGATTTTGCTTTTGTGTGGTACACGGGATAGGTTACTTCTCCCTCTGTGCAGTTTCTTGGGCTTTTTCCAACATCGTAGCTGCTGCACTAACAGCCTAAGACAAAGGGGCTCTTGACAAATGTGTCAGAAGAGTGACGGCTGTCCTTTATTTTGCATTGGTTTCTTCATTCAGGGGCTTTACTCACGCTGTTTCCAGTCCTCACCAAGAGTCTCGTACGCACAGAGCTATTCTATGTCAAAGCCAGAATTGAGCTGGGTCTCTCTAGTCCCAGACTCCGTGGTGCCCTCACAGTTCTGCACGATGCGTGGATGGGATGAAGACACAGAATAACGGAATGGGATGGTCCTGTGTCCTAGGTTCTGCTTTTACAGATGGGTGGACTGAGACCCAGAGAAAGAAGGGGATTTTTGTGGCTTTCGTTGGGATCAGAATTGATCAGGTGTCCTGATGCTGAATTTACATCTTCTGACCCGATGTCTCTTGCCTTCTAAGTCTTTCACCCACTTGAAATTTAACCAGGACAGAGGAGGTTAAAATTCCAGTTAAATGACCCTCACGAGGCAGATGGGTTGCAGAGAGAACATCAGGTGCACACTGGGTGTGTGAGGGAACTGGAGGAGGGACAGCACAGAGAGGGACAGGAGGGAGGGATGCTGACAGGAAAGGCTTTGTCCTCATAAATTTGGCTGCCTTCAGGTCCACCAAGGGTCACAGAGCATGCAATTCTTAAAGGAATGACACTGATGCCAGCCGTACCTGCCGGCAACTTGTATCACGTTACACAGAGGAGCAGTGGCCCCTGGACAGAAAAAAATAAAAAAAAGGTGTGAGTAACCAAGCATGGTTGTAAGGCATTGACACTGCACATAGAGATGAAGCTGATCTGGCTTTGTTGTGTGTGTGCATGTGGGGAAGCCACGAGTGGCTTGAGTGGGTGGGAAGAGAGAAGAGATGGCTTTGTGAGATACTCAGCCAGACAGGAGCTTACCAGGGACCTTCGAGGAAGGCTGGGGAGGATGTAAGGGTCCAGTAGGTGTGTAATTGATGGGAGAGACAAAGTGCAGGACCTGATGTGGCCCAGGGCATTGAGCATGGAGCTTTGGCTATGGCTGCCATCTTGGTCTTGTACCATGCTTGGATGGGATCCAGGGCCCCAGCACTTGGGCCATCATCTGTTGTTTTCCAAGGTTTACTAGGAGGGAGCTGGACCAGAAGTGGAGCTACAAGGACTCAAACCAGTGTTCATATAGGGATGCTGGTGTCTCCAGCTGTGGCTTAACCTGCTGTGCCACAGCACCAGCCCCCTGTCCCCTTTTAATAAATGGAAAAAATTCATGAAATATTTCAAACATACAGAGAAGCACAAAGAATAATATAGCAAATGCTTTTATCTCCACACTCAGATTTTATAGATCTAAGCAATTTATAATTTTTTCCCAAAAAGAATTAAAACATTACAGATATAACCAAAAGCTTATGTGTTCCTATTATTCCTTCCTGTGGATAAATGTTGTCATGAATTCTTCTCATCCATAGATAATTTGTTTGACAGGCAGACACACACACACACACATACACACACACACACACACACCCCTCTTATCCACTGGTTCATTCCCCAAATGTCCAGGATACAAGAGCTCAACCCAGGTCTGCCATGTATGTGGCAGGATCCCAACTACCTGAGCACCACCTGTTGCCTCCCAGGGTGTGGATTTGCAGGTAGCTGGATCAGAAACAGAGCCAGGATTCCAACCCAGGGTCTCTATAATATTCCCTTGTTGTGATCATCTGAAGTGTATCGTAACCACTGTGCCAACTACCTGTCCTTGTGATGTGTGTTTCTAAACCACACACATAAGTTACTTTATTAATTTTTTTAAATTTCATTTTGAAAGTAAGGGAAAAAAGTTTTTTTTTTTAAATAATAATAAAAAAGACCTGGCTCCCTGCAGAAAATATTCCAGAAAGGAAATCCCTTACCTTCCAGTTTTTGTTGTAAGGGTCAAACTAATGCATGCTTTAGGAAGTCCTTGGTAAAATGGAAAATTCTCTGACTGCAAAGGAAAAATTCAAGTGAGGCAGGAAAAATGTCTGGACAGCTATGGAGAACCCAAGTCCAATGTCAGAACACCCAGGCTGAAGCAGGTTCCCAAAGGTGGCTTAGCTATGGAGTTCCAGGCACACCTGCTGGCTTCTCAGGTTCGAAGGGCAGAATTTATCTCGAGGATGGGAATGACTCGTGGGAGGAGGAATTTGCCCTAGGTTTCTTCTACTCACCAGAGAGGTTTTCTTAGAATTCTTTATCTGTGCTGTTAGATGAAGACGGAATATCACAGAAACGGGGCTTCCCAGAAGTCCTGACAGAGTTCGTTGACTGCACTATCTTGAGTTGTATGTTACTTATTTGTGATCAAGGACAGTAAGGCAGAGAGTAATGTGGGCATCACGGTCTACTGTGGCGTGCTGTTGTAAAGAATTACAAATTGACCACTATGTGGGTAGGTGTTTTTTTTTTTTTAAAGATTTATTTTATTAGCTGGCGCCGTGGCTCACTAGGCTAATCCTCCGCCTAGCGGCGCCGGCACACCGGGTTCTAGTCCCGGTCGGGGCGCCGGATTCTGTCCCGGTTGCCCCTCTTCCAGGCCAGCTCTCTGCTGTGGCCAGGGAGTGCAGTGGAGGATGGCCCAAGTGCTTGGGCCCTGCACCCCATGGGAGACCAGGAAAAGCACCTAGCTCCTGGCTCCTGCCATCGGATCAGCGCGGTGCGCTGGCCGCAGCGCGCCGACCATGGCGGCCATTGGAGGGTGAACCAACGGCAAAGGAAGACCTTTCTCTCTGTCTCTCTCTCTCACTGTCCACTCTGCCTGTCAAAAAAAAAAAGGTTTATTTTATTTATTTGAAAGTCAGAGTTACACACACACACACACACACACACAGAGAGAGAGGGAGAGAGAGAGAGAGAGAGAGAGAGGTTTTCCATCCACTGGTTCACTCCACAATTGGCCGCAATGGCCAGAGCTGCTCTGATCCGAAGCCAGGAGCCAGGAGCTTCTTCCGGGTCTCCCACTAGGATGCAGGGGCCCAAGGACTTGGGCCATCTTCTACTGCTTTCTCAGGCCATAGCAGAGAGCTGGATGGGAAGTGGAGCAGCTGGGACTTGAATCAGCACCCATATAGGATACCAGCATTGCAGGCAGCAGGCTTACCTGCCTATCCACAGCGCAGGCCCCATGGGTAGGTGTTTTATAAGATGTTGGTTGGAATGCCCACATCCCATATTGGAATGGACTCAACAGCTGGGGTTGGGCCAGGCTGAAGCCAGGAGCCAGGAGCTCAATCCAGGTCTCCTACATGGATGGCAGGGACCCAGGTACTGGAGCCATCACCTGCTGCGTCCCCGTGTGCACATTAGCAGGAAGTTGGACTCAAGAGCAGAGCTGGGACTTGAACCCAGGTACTCTGATATGGGACATAAATGTTCCAAGAGACATCTTAACCACTGTGCCAAATGCCCTTCCCAATTATTTTTAAAAAATATTTCTTTAAAAATTTAGAAATTTATTAGAGAGATACACACACACACACACACATGAACACACACATGAACACATAGCTTCTCCAATCTACTAGTTCACTCCTCAAGTGCCTGCAGTGGTGGAGTACTTACCGGACCAAAGCTGAAGCTGGGAAGTGGGAACTCAATCCAGGTCTACCATGTGGGTGGCAGAGACTCAATTATTGGAGCTGTCACTGATGCCTGCCAGGGTAGCATGAGCAGAAAGTTGGTATAAAGGAGCCAGAACTGTGAACTGAAGCCAGGCATTCTGATGTAGGACTTGTGTGTTTTAATCATTCCTTATTTCTAACTGACATGCAGTCATTCTACACATGGATAGGGTATGGTGTGATGTTTCAGTGTGTAATGATCAGGTCAGGGAAATCTATCACCCCAGGCATTTATGATTTCTCCGTGTTGGGAATGTTCAAACTCTATCCACTAGCTATTTTGAAAACACTCAATCATTGTTAATTGTAGTTATCCTGCTGTGCTATGGAACATCAGCAGGTACTCCTTCTGTCTGGCTGCACCCCTGTGGCTGCCGAGGGCACTTATTTTTTTTTAAAGAGTTATTTATTTATTGGAAAGTCAGAGTTACAAACACACAGAGAGAAGGAGAGGCTGAAAGAGAGAGAGAGAGGTCTTCCATCCGCTGGTTCATTCTCCAATTGGCTACAATGATTGGAGCTGTGCCGATCTGAAGCCAGGAGCCAGGAGCTTCTTCCAGGTCTCCCATGTGGGTGCAGGGGCCCAAGGCCTTGGGCCATCTCTACTGCTTTCCCAGGCCATAGCAGAGTGCTGGATTGGAAGAGGAGCAGCCGGGACTTGAACCGGTGCCTATATGGGATGCCGGCAATGCAGGTGGTAGCTTTACCTGCTATGCCACAGTCCCAGCCCCGACATTTATTTTTTAAAGATTTAATTATTTATTTGAAAGTTAGAGTTACACACAGAGAGGGAGAGAGAGGTCATCCATCTGCTGATTCACTCCCCAGATGGCCGCAATGGCCAGCACTGGGCCAGGCTGAGACCAGGAGCCTTAAGCTTCATCTGGGCCTCCTGCAAGGGTGGCAGGGTCTCAAGCACTTGGGCATCTTCCACTGCTTTTCTCAGGCCATTAGCAGGGAGCTGGGTCAGAAGTGGAGTAGCCAGGACTCGAACCAACACCCATGTGGGATGCCAGCATTGCAGGTGGTGGCTTTGCCCGATACGCCACAATGCCAGCCCTGCCAAGGGCATTTTTAAGGCAGGCGCAGCCTTGGGATCTTTTCCTAGCTCATTTATGCTTGTTAACTAATCCACCAAGTCAAAATTACGTGCATTTAACTACAGTCCATTGCAATCAACAAGTGAGTCACCTTTAATTTAGATAACTTTTACAATTAACAAATGGGCCCCTTAATTTAGATAACTTTATGTAACTAGTAGGAAACATGGGAGGCGAGGGACCAGTGTTACCCATCACAGTTTGAAATGGCCCAGAGAGCAGCCAGAAAGGAGAGCCCATTTACCTTTGCAGGACGCATGTAGGTAGAAGAGGCTCCTTCTTCTTGGGTCACTGCAGAAGGCAGGATGGAACCGACCCTGGCCCTGAGAGGAGGCTGCAGCCTTTCCCACTTCCAGATGCTAAGAATCAGGAGCTCCTGTAGTCAGGTCTTTCTGCTGTGTCTTGCACTGTATTTTTTTTTTTTCATTTTATTTGAGTGGGAAAGAGAGACAGAGACAGAGAGAGACAGAGACAGAGACAGAGAGAGATCTTGCAGATGGCTCATTCACCCTCCAAATGTCCAGAGCTGGGTGGAGCAAAGCCAGGAATCAGGAACTCCATCCAAATCTCCCACAAGGGTGGCAAAGGCCCAAGTACTTGCACCCTTATCTGCTGCCCCAAGGGTGCACATAAGCAGGAAGCTGGATTGGAAGCAGAGCTGGGACTCAAACCGTTTACTCCAATATGGGATGTGGGCATTAACCATTGCACTAATTGCCCACTCCAAGACTTCCTGCTTTAAAGATGAGGACTCTAAGGAGTAGAAAAGTACAACGTTTCATCCCAGGTCACTCTGACCTATAGTGGCAGCTGCAGTGGGCCCAGAGCCAGGTCCTCTGAACACCAGCCCTGGTGTGATTCTTTGTCACCATCCCTCTCTCTGCCTCCGGCTCTGTGTCTCCTCCTTCACCAGATGGTGACATTAGGTCCCCTGGAGTGAGAGAATCTACAGGAGACATCTGGGAGGGTGGGAGCTGATGCACCAGGAACTTGGAGTTGACTCACTCCCCAGGGCTCACATTAGCACACAGACTCGGGAGCTGGTATTAGACAAGCTGTCTCCCAAGTAACAGAGATAAGGAATAGGAGATCCTGTTGTGAGGGGTCTTAGTTACTTTATGTTGTTATATAAAAGAACAGCCAAGTCTGGGTAGTTTATAAAGAATAGAGAGATGTATTTCTGACAGTTCTGAAGCCTGGGCCATCCGAGAGTATGGTTCTAGCATCTCTCAGGGAGGGACTTCTTGCAGCACCATCACACAGGGGACAATGTCCCTTAGTGAGACCGAGCAAGCACGCTAACTTGGCTTTCTCTTCCTCTTGTGTTAAAGCCGGTGATCCCATCATGGGATTCTCACTCTGGAACTCTCACTAACCCCATCACGGGGTGTCTCACCCTGGACAACTCTTCTAATCCTGGTCACCTCCCAAATGGCCTTCCTCCAAATGCTATTGACATGCGAATTCGATCATTAAGTTTCCAACACATGCACGCTTGGGGGGACAGAAAGGTGTGGTGGGGGTCCCTGGGGAGCTGTGCTAGGGCAGGCCAGGGAAGATGAGAACAGAGGAGGAGAGGTGGAAGTGTTAAGTTCAACTCTGTCGGTCCATTCGCCAGGGCTCGGCCTGAGTGCCCTTGGCATCCTCTGAAATGTATTAAGCTTATGAAGTATGACAGGTGTGCATCCCACCTAGGAGCAGTCTAGTGTCTTTTGCACCAAGATTTGAAAACAGGAGATTCTGCCCGCTCATTCCTTAACACCACCCTTCCTGGAGTATTTTGGGGAAGATAGGAAAAAACTTATTTTGGGTGACCCCAGTGCGCCCTCTGCTGGTGTATGTTAGCAACTGCATCATCCGTCCAGGTAGAAAGTTCCTTTAGGAGGTGGCTCCGTGAGACTGGGAGGAGAAAGGAGGACCTTGGAAGAGAACAGAAGCAGTGAACTCGGGAGTGAAGAAGAAAACAATTGTCTCAAAAATCTCCCAAGATCATCTAGATAAAACTACCTTGTGCCAACCTTGCCCCCTACGAGGTGCTTGGTGATGCCTTGGTTGTGTTTGGGTCGTGAACTCTGCCCGGGGCTGGGAAGATAACACTGGGATCTCGCTGAAGTTTCTCTCTATGCTGGGGTCAAGGGTAGAGCTTGCCACTCTCAGACTCTCCTGCACCCAGACTTGCTTCTTGGAACAGATCTGCGTACACTGACGTGCAGACCACAGGTCGTAGGTGCAGAACCCTGGTCTACATGTGAGTTGGGAAGAACCTCAAAGCAAAGAGAGTTCCAGAGTGAAGTGCACTTGTGAAGGGTTGTGTGTTGGGTTCCCCTGGCCGGAGAGCCAAGCTCCATGGTGTACATAAAGGCTCTGAGAGCCTGTGTGGCAAAGAAGCTGCCTTTACCTGGTAGCATCCAGCAGCATTTCGCAGCCCTTGTGGGTGGTGGAGTCCTTTTCTCACCTTGAACAAAGCGTTCTTGAGAACTCGGGAAGAGAACATGGACTCCGTGAATAGGCGGCTTCTCTTACCCCTTCCCCTGCCTCTCCCCTCCTCTCCTTGCAGGCAGACATCTTTTCCGGAGCCATCTTCATCCAGCTGACCTTGGGCCTGGATATCTATGTGGCCATCATTATCTTATTGGTCATCACTGGGCTCTACACCATCACAGGTGAGCCCAGGAGCTCAAGCACTCAGGAAGGGCGAATGGAAGTCGGGGATTTGGTTTTCTCCTGTGCTAGAGGACAAGTAAACTCAGGAAGTGGTTTGAGGGTGGAGCATTTGCTTGGTGTCTACTCACAGGCCCTACAAGTTAGGTGAGTGGTCTTGAAAGCTCCGGAGTTTTCTGGAATAGGGCTGCTTCTTATAGGAAGGAACTTGGGAAGAGCTTGGCCTTGCCATTTTGTGAAGATGACTTGGCTGCTGGGGTGGGGTGGGGGGGATCAAGGCTAAGTGGGGGCTGGGTGTGGAAGCAGGAGTGAGCACAGCGTGGGGGCAGAGACTAGGTGAGCAGGCAGGTGCACGTGGCTGGAGGAGGGTGGACCCTTGGTGGTAGATGGGGCCTAATTGGGCCATGGGCTGGAGACTTCAAATGAGATCACAGTTCAGGGGCCTTGGAAGCCACACAGAGGCCTGGCCTTTGATGTGGGAGAGACTGGGAGCCACTGTGGGAGGGCCAGAGGGAGTGACCCTTCAAAGAGGTTTGGGAGGAAGAATCAAGAGACACCTGGAGAAGCTGGTGTACAACTGGGGGCTCCTTTGCAGAGATGTTGCTCTACCTCATTGGGTGGGGGGCAGAGTTAGCGATGGAACTTGCTACCCAGCTGGAGCCCCCATAGCTCTGGGCACAAGGAGTTACTTAGATGGTGTGAGACTTGAGAGGGTGGACATGCACAGGGGTCTTCAAAAAGTGCGTAGTTCCTGCATTAAAAACAACCACAACCCCTTATCTTTTAATTCCCTTGTCTAGGAACTTCTCGTATAATCATCCTGGAAGTAGCCCTTTGACACACGCCAATGTGGCCTTGTCCCCAGAGGCCCCTGTAGTCAGCTCTTTGCTCTTCTATGGTTTCACTCATGAGAGATGCTTCCTCTCACCATAGCGAGGCCATCTCTTGGCTCCCAAGGGTCCCATCGGGCTCTTCCTTCTCAGGTAGTGAGAAACAGTCCCCTGCCCCCAAGGCCATCTCTATGGAAAGTATGGGTTGGGGATGCACTGAGAAGCAGAGTGACAGGACAAGGGAGGGAAGGCAGGTGAGTGTCCGAGGGGGCTGGACTCTCAGCAGGTGTGCGAGAGGCAGAGGATGGAGCGTGGGAAGGGAAGCAGGCAGGCAGCTCTGCTTCTCTGCTCCCCGAGTCTGATGTGTTGCTGTCCTGGCTGCTGTAGGGGGCTTGGCCGCTGTGATCTACACGGATACCTTGCAGACTGCCATCATGATGGTGGGCTCTGTGATCCTGACTGGGTTCGGTAAGTGGGGCTGGGGTGGGTTAAGGAGGTGGGGGTGGTGGTGGTGGCCCAGCCCAGACTGTGGGTGTGCAGGGGTAGCTTTGTCATGCCTGGAAGCTTCAGGTTGGGGCTGGCTCAGAGAACACCTGGATTCCCTGCCTCCCTCTCTCTTTCTCTCTCTCCCTGATACACACACACACTGGACCACACTGGACACACACACACTGAGCCTGAACCACTTCACGTGATAACATGGGGCTCTGTCTGCAGAGAAATTGAACAAGACAGGATGAGGCTAAATAACCCAAGTAGAAATGTCCAAATGTTGAGTCTTCACTCTTAGATTTTATGCTGTCCGCTTTGATGTCCATACAGAATGCTGTCCATACTTTGATGTTAAGTATCTTTTCTTTGGTGACTTATTGGCAGGAGGTGATACCTATCCTTTCAATGCCCTTGTTTGACAACGTTTAAAAAACTGACCACTTGGGGCCAGAGCCATGGTGCAGTAGGTTAATCCTCCACCTGCAGTGCCGGCATCCCATATGGGTGCCAGTTCTAGTCCCGGCTGCTCCTCTTCCAATCCAGCTCTCTGCTATGGCCTGGGAAAGCAGTGGAGGATGGCCCAGGTCCTTGGGCCCCTGCACCCATGTGGGAGACTGGGAAGAGGCACCTGGCTCCTGGCTTCGGATCGACGCAGCTCCGGCCGTTGCGGCCATCTGGGGAGTGAACCAACGGAAGGAAGACCTTTCTGTCTGTCTCTCCCTCTCACTGTCTGCAACTCTACCTTTCAAATAAATAAATAAAAATCTTAAAAAAAAAAAGACCACTCGATGGTAGTAGCCCTCCCAGTGTTTGTTTTTGAAATTTTACTTGCTGATGTGATGCTAAAGACGAGAGTGGAAGCCCTGGATGTAGGGATGTTGTTGTGGGAGGCTACAAAATGCATTTTATTTTCTGGCGCACGAGGCCCTCTGTGTGTCCTGCAAAGACCAGTATCTGCTCTCTACTCTTTCGTCTCCCAGCTCTTTCCCTTAGTTGCTATTGGTTGGCACTGGGGATGGGCAAGGCAGGAGCTGGCATGATTTGCTTAAGGACCAACAGCTGTCAGGTGGCAGGTTCCAGATTCCATTGCCTGTCCAGGCCACTGCACTGGGACCTGGGCTGGGGGTCCCTTTGTGTCTCTGGGTCTGGGCTTGGATTTCCAAGGACCCCGGCTCATAGCAGAGGTGAGAGTGAAAAAAAGGTCTTTGCATGTGGTACAAAACCGAAGTCTTCCATTTAATAATTCAAACATCTTTCCTTTTGTTTTTCTCTTTTAAATCTTTATTTATTTGAAAGGGAGAGAGAGCAAGAGGGCTCTTCCCCATTGCTGGTTCACTCCTCAGATACCCACAATGGGTGGGTGGGGAGAAGGGGGCTGAAGCCAAGGCTAAGAATTCCATTCAGGTCTCCCACACGGGTGACTGCCTCCCAGGGCTTGCATTAACAGGAAGCTATAGTCAGGACTCAAGCCCAGGCATTCTGATATGGCACATGAGCACCCTAAACAGTGTCTTAACTGCTAGGCTATATGTAAACCTTTTGTCAAGAAGGTTATAACTGGAGCTCTTTCTCTTTCTTTCTTTCTTTCTTTCTTTCTTTCTTTCTTTCTTTTTTTCTTTCTTTCTTTCTTTCTCTCATTCATTTATTTGAGAGAGTAACAGACAGTGAGAAGTAGAGACAGAGAGAAAGATCTTCCATCTGCTGTTCACTCCCTAAATGGCTGCAATGGCCAGAGCTGGGCTGAGCCAAAGCCAGGAGCCAGGAGCTTCTTCTGGGTCTCCCACACAGGTGCAGGGGCCCATCTTCTACTGCTTTCCCAGGCTATAGCAGAGAGCTGGATCAGAAGTGGAGCAGCTGGGACTTGAACGGGTGCCCACTTGGGATGCTAGTGGTGCAGGTGGCGGCTTTCCCTTCTATGCCACAGTGCTGGCTGCGTGGAGCACTTTCAAAAGCTATTGCTGGGGCTAGACCTGTGGCATGGCAGTTAAGAAGTAGAAGCAGTAGAAGACGGCCCAAGTCCTTGGGTCCCTGCACCTGTGTGGGAGACCCAGAGGAAGCTCCTGGCTCTCCTGGCTTCAGATTGGCACAGCTCTGGCCGTTGCAGCCACCTGGGGAGTGAAACAGCAGATAGAAGATCTCTCTCTCTCTCTCTCTCTCTCTCTCTCTCTCTCTCTCTCTAGATTGGCACAGCTCTGGCCGTTGCAGCCACCTGGGGAGTGAAGCAGCAGATAGAAGATCTCTCTCTCTCTCTCTCTCTCTCTCTCTCTCTCTAGATTGGCACAGCTCTGGCCGTTGCAGCCACCTGGGGAGTGAAGCAGCAGATAGAAGATCTCTCTCTCTCTCTCTCTCTCTCTCTCTCTCTCTCCCCCTCTCAAGCAAATAAATAAATCTTAAAAAAAAAAAACCACAAACTATTGCTTTGGGTCTGCACAGCCTAGGGGAGGGATAGGGCGGGTTAATAACCCCATCTGGTGGATGAGAAAGCTGAGGAAGGAGACTTGCCCAGGCCTGTGCAGTGAGTGCTCTCTGTCTGTTGGCTGGGTCCCCCCAGTCTCTCGGGCATCTGTGGGAGGAAGCCACCACAAAGAGTGGAGTATGACATAATGTTTGTTTCTGTGTCTGTGCTTTCCAGCTTTTCACGAAGTAGGAGGGTACGAGGCCTTCACGGAGAAGTACATGCGAGCCATTCCCAGCCAGATCTCCTACGGAAACACCTCCATCCCACAGAAGTGCTACACCCCAAGGGAAGACGCCTTCCACATCTTCCGAGATGCCATCACTGGGGACATCCCCTGGCCCGGGCTCGTCTTTGGAATGAGCATCCTCACCCTTTGGTACTGGTGCACTGATCAGGTACCCGAGCTGGACATGCAGGGTGGACGGACGGACCAGGCTTTCCCCCACGGGGCTGCGGGAGCTCCTGTCTGTCTATGGCTTATTGGGCTGAGAAAGGCAGGGGCGGGCTCCCGTGACCTGCAGGCTGGTGAGCCCCGGCGACACAGGGGTGGCACAGGATGGAGACCTGGCATCTCAGGCGGTGTCGTGGGCTCTCTGGCCTGCCCTCCTGCCCTCACTCGGCTCTCCCTGTTAGGTCATTGTGCAGCGTTGCCTGTCAGCCAAGAACTTGTCCCACGTGAAGGCCGGCTGCATTCTGTGTGGGTACCTGAAGGTGATGCCTATGTTCCTCATAGTGATGATGGGGATGGTGAGCCGTATCCTGTACACAGGTAAAGCCCCCCGCTGCACCCACGGCTTCTCTTCCCCAGCCACCCGCCTCCCAGGCGCTTCGAAAGCCCTGTAGCTCCCTGCTCCTGCCCCCCTCCCTCCTCTTCTTCCTTTGCTGTGATAAAAGCCAGCTCTCACTGTTCCTGAGATGCAGAACTTTTGGGGTTGTTTCCCCCCATTTCTTACATCTGCAGTTGCTTTCCTTTCTTTAAAACCAAACACATATTCCAAGTTCAAGTTTGGGACACGCCTCCAGATTGTTCCGCGCCCCCTCCCCCCACTCCTATTTGCTCAGCTGTTATTCCTCTCCTGGCCAATCCAAGGCTTGTGGTGTGTATGTGTGTGTGTGATGTCATTTCCAAATTCCATGTCAGAGGCTCCCAGCCAGCCAGTCTCTAATCGCCTGAGGCTCTGGGCCGGGTTTCCGGGATAATTTCCTTAAAGCTACCTTGAGCCTTGCTTTTTGCCGTGTAGGGTGAGAGATTCGTCCCTTGCTTCTTCCAAGACCTGCTCCATCCTTGCCATTTGCAGGTTTTTTTTTTTTTTAATTGATTTCGGGTAGCCAGCATGAGGCTAAACTGTTCTGTGCTGTGTGAAATAATGACCAAAAAAAAAAAAAGCCCTCCCTCCCCCCGAGTGACAGTTTGGCAAGTGTCCTCCAAAGTCAAGACAAGACGGTCTGGAGACTGTTACTGGCTGCATTCTCCTCATAGTATTTTCACATTCCCACCTGCCAGGAGGAAAACACAGGGGCCAGCATTAGGGCTTAGCGGGTAGAGCCACTACCTGTGATGCCGGCATCCCATATGGGTGCTGGTTTGTGTGGCTGCTCCAGTTCTCATCCAGCTCCCTGCTAATTAATGGCCCGAGAAAAGCAGCGAAAGATGACCCCAGTGCTTGGGCCCCTGCTACCCATGTGGGGTACCTGGATGAAGCTCCAGGCCCTTAGCTTTGATTTGGCCCAGCCCTGGCTATTGCGGCCATCTGGGGAGTTAACCAGCAGATGGAAGATTCCTCTCTCTCTCTCTCTCTCTCTCTGTAACTCTTCCTTTCAAGTAAATATATAAATCTTTAAAAAAGGAAAATACAGCCAGCCATTTGAATCCTTGGGTTTGTGCATGGTGTATTCAACTAGTTGTGGATTTAAATATTTGAAAAAGAAATTGCATCTGGACTCAACATGTACAGACTTTTTTTCCCTTGTCAGGATTCCTTGAACAATAGAGTAAACAACTATTTACATAACATTTGCATAGCATTAGATATTCTAAGTAACTCATCTAAAGATGAGTTAAAGTACACCAGAGGATATGCAAAGGTTCTATATGCATTTTTAAAAAGACGTTATTTATTTTATTTTTATTTATTTATTTTTTGACAGGCAGAGTAGACAGTGAGAGAGAGAGAGAGACAGAGAGAAAGGTCTTCCTTTATCGTTGGTTCACCCTCCAATGGCCGCCGCGCGGCTGGTGCGCTGCAGCCGGCGCAAAGCGCTGATCTGATGGCAGGAGCCAGGTACTTCTCCTGGTCTCCCATGGGGTGCAGGGCCCAAGCACTTGGGCCATCCTCCACTGCACTCCCGGGCCACAGCAGAGAGCTGGACTGGAAGAGGGGCAACCGGGACAGAATCCGGCGCTCCGACCGGGACTAGAACCCGGTGTGCTGGCACCGCAAGGCGGAGGATTAGCCTAGTGAGCCGCGGCGCCGGCCATGGCTTTATTTATTTATTTGAGAGGCAGAGCTACAGACAGAGAGAGGGAGAGCCAGAGAGAAAGGTCTTCCATCTGCTGTTCACTCTCATAATGGCTGCAATGGCCGGAGCTAGGCCGATCTAAAGCCAGGAGCCAGGAGCATCCTCTGGGTTTCCCACATGGGTAGCAGGGCCCCAAACACTTGGGCCATCCTCTACTGCCTTCCCAGGCCATTAATTAGCAGGGAGCTGGCTTGGAAGAGGAGCAGCTGGGACTCAAACTGGCATTCACATGGGATGCCGCTATCGTAGCAGAGGCTTGGCCCACTACACCACAGTGCCTGCCCCTCTATATGCCTTTTACATGAAGGACCTGATCATGCATAGATTTTGGTAATGGGGATTTGTGGCAGTAATCCAGGGATACCAAGGGATGACTAGATAGCTAACTGAACGGTTCGTATTATAATGGATATTACACAGATTTATGTATAAAAAATTGAGACAGTGCAATGATGAATCAATACTATATGGAACTGCACCAGATGAGGTACCTAATAGGTGTTTGCTGATGTAAATCCTACATAGATTTTTTAGAATTCTCCTCAAGACTCTAGATCATGTCTCCTTCCAATCCAAGGCCACTTTCTTTCTATCTCTACTTTGTAAATTTCCCTCTGCTTTGAAACTGTCCTTCCTTCCTGCTCTGAATTTGGGGATGCATTGGGACTGGTGGGGCAGAGACGTGGGATGGAAGGGTGGAACCCCTTCAGGGTTGTGGTAGGAATGTCCTCTGAGAAGTCTTGTTTTAAGAAGGTAAAATTTGGGGCAGTCGTCCTAATGTCTGCTTGATAACGTGGCTTTTCATCTCTCCCCAGACAAAGTTGCCTGCGTCGTGCCCTCGGAATGTGAGAGATACTGTGGCACCAGGGTTGGCTGCACCAACATTGCCTTCCCAACCTTGGTGGTGGAGCTGATGCCCAATGGTGAGAGGATTTCCTGGGAGATTGGTGGTACCAGTTGGGTTTAGGTTCCATCTGGATTTCTCTGGGCTTTCTGGGGCAACACAACTTCTGAGCCTAGGGGGAGGGCAGGGAAAACCTCATTCTGGGTGTGTTCAGTTTTTGAACATATCTTCCCACAGTGGGAATGAGACCTATGGCCAGCATGGGTGAGGGTGGTTTTCAGCCCTCTTGCCATCCACAGCACCCCTAGCAGCAATGAATCCCTTAGCCATGATGGTGGATTATGGGTGAAGCTGGATCTTGAACACATCTGGGCCTCTAACTCAATGGTGGCAAGGAAGGAGCCACAGCTCATTTCTTAATATATCTGGTCTTGGGGCTGGCGCTGTGGTGCAGGAGATTGGGCCATGGCCTGCAGCACCTAGTGGACTAATAATTTAAAACCACAGTCCATTTCTTTGTTTTTCTTGAGGAATGCGTCCCATATAGGCACTGGTTAGAGTCCTGGCTGCTTTACTTCCCATCCAGCTGCCTGCTAGTGTGCCTGGGAAAGCAGCAGAAGATGACCCAAATGCCTGGGCCCATGCACCCATGTGGGAGACCTGGAAGAAGCTCCCGTCTCCTGGCTTCAGCCTGGCCCAGCCCCAGTCATTGTGGCCATTTGGGGAGTGAACCAGTGGATGGAAGACTCTCTCTCTCTCTCTCTCTCTCTCTCTCTCTGTAACTCCTCCTTTCAAATAAATAAATAAATCTTTAAATAAAAATGTCTCATCTTGGTAGACGAAGAGTTGGAGGACATGGTGCAGTTTCAGAAGGCATGCCAACCTTGAGTTCTCATGTTTTCCAAGCGTCAGTGGACTGAGATGCGTTTGTGCCACTCAGACGCTCCTTCTCTTCCAGGGCTGCGGGGCCTGATGCTGTCCGTCATGATGGCGTCTCTCATGAGCTCCCTGACCTCCATCTTCAACAGCGCCAGCACCCTCTTCACCATGGACATCTACACCAAGATCCGGAAGAAAGCGTCTGAGAAGGAGCTCATGATCGCAGGAAGGTAAATGAAGCTTCCTCCACCAGGAACCTTTTTTTTTTTTAAAGATTTATTCATTAATTTAGTTGCAATCATACTGATGGAGAGAGAAAGAGAGGGCTAGAGACAGGGAGATATATCTTCTGTTTTACTCCCCTCAAATGTTTGCAACAGCTAGGGATGGGCCAGGCTAAAGCCAGGAGCCTGGAACGCCATCCAGGTTTCCCATGTGGGTGGCAGGGAACTTGAGCCATCAACCACCGCCTTCCTAGGCACATCAGCAGGAAGCTGGATCAGAAGCAGAGCAGCTGAGACTTGAAGCAGTGCTCCAATATGAGATGGTGGCAACACAGTCACTTAACTGATTGTGCCAGAGTCCCAGCCCCTCTGCCAGGAAAGTTTGATTGATCAGAAAGGCTCATGATTGGCAGATGCCTGAGTAGAGAGGGAGTAAGCTCTGTGGGTAGTTCTATCTGCCCTTCAGTGGTATTTAACTTTGAAGAGCGAGAATGCGATGCCTCTCTGGAGTTAGAGGTCATGTCATCTAACCTTCAGGCGATCAATGAGAGAGTGAAACTTGTCCTGACCAAACCCAGATGTTGTGGACAGTGGCAGAGGCGGGATTGGAATTCTGTAGCAGCTCGGGTCTTTCTTTAAGACCCTTCATGCTGCTTCCCGCTGCTCATCTCAGCTCTGTACACCGTGGCTCCCCACACTGGCTGTCTTTCAGGCCTCAAGGCCTGTGACGTTTCAACCCCTTGATGCAACATTTTGTGAAGTCCTTGTGAAGGCCCAGTGGGGCTGTACTTGTGAGTAGACTGTAAAGTCTACCACAGCTAGCTTTGCGCTCATTTGTCGTTCCCAAATGGGCTAGTGATATGAGGATGCTTCCAAGGAGTTGGTGGGTAAAACAAATTAAAAGATAAGATTTTATGCCAAAGATTGTAGATGTCCATGCATATTTTTTCATACTATGTATTTTTTTAAAATTAGCTTTAAAATAATTATTTGGGAGAGAGAGAGAGAGAGAGAGAGAGAGAGAGAGAGAAATGTTTCCATTTACTGGTTTACTCCTCAAATGCCTGGAATGGCTGGAACTGGGCTGGGCTGGCCCTGGGAGATGGGGACTCAGCCCAGCCCTGCTGTGTGGGTGAATGGCAGCAGCCTAATTCCTTGGACAATCAGCAGTGCCTTGCAGGGTCTACATTAGCAGTTAGCAAGAGTCAGGATCTACATCCGGGAACTGAACCCAGGTACTTCAATGTGGGATGCAGGTATCTTATCTGCTAGGCTAAATGGGCACCCCTTTTGTGAACTTGCTGAAGACCCTCGAATGCATGGATTTCAAGATGTTTCGCATAAATGTGTCTTCTAATCCCATCTTCCATGAACTTTCTGAAGGGCCCTTGTACACAACAGGATCCTGAAAGCATTGGTTAAAGCATGGGTCCAGTGTGCTCATTATCATCATTATTTATGCTGCAGGGTCCCTGGTAGGGGATCAACAGAATGTCACTTCTGTATGCTTCTCTGTAGGCCCAAAGCAGATCAGTCTCCTCGGCAAAAGTCCTTGGGTTGTCAGGCAAGGGATAGGTTTCCATCAAGAGCAGAGGGCAAGTGGGCTGCCACCTCATGGATCTGGGTCTCCTGGTCCTAAGACATCATTAGGATGTGCATCCCGAGACCATTGCCCCGGGACTTGTCACAGCTCTGGACAAGCTCACGGTGACATGAAGCCATCCCAAAGTCTGCTCTGGGGACTGGAAGACCAATCAGGGGCTCAGATAAGAAGGAGACGGCTGCGGCATGCTGTCCTCGGAGGAGGGAGAACCTGAGCTGAGTCCAGACTTGGGGGTGGGGGGTGGTAGGAAGGGCATTCCAGAGGGAGACAGGAGTAGGTGAAAACACTGCTTTGTGGAGGGCAATCTCCGACTCTTTTGCCTTAAATACAGAGGTAAGGAAATCATAGTTGTCTAATTAAGCCAAGAGCACAGGTAAGAACTTGTAAGGGAATCCTCAGTCTTTACAGGAGTTAAATGAAACCCCAAAGGAGGAGAGCTGGTCACCTGGTAGTGTCCTTCCCTACCTAGATTGTTCCCTTAAAAATTCTTCTTGGCTGGTGTTTTTAACTTTCTTAAGGAGAATCAGGCAGAGAGGGGGGTAATGACGGTTTTTGCTATCTGTCGAGTGCCTGCTCTTTGCAAGGTGTTTTATTGTCACTGACATTTATTCCAACCTTGCCAAGGCAGTGATAGCGTTTTCAGTGTTCAGATGGAGAATCTGAGACCCAAAGAGGTTAAGCACCAGATCCTATGCCCCCACAGAAAGCATAAGAACTTGAATCTAGGACTGCCTGTTCCTACACTCTGCTGTCTCCCAAAGCTGAATTCTCTTACGGCAGTGACCGGGCCTTGGCTACTATTGAAAGTTATGTGCTTCCCTTGTCAGTGGAAACAGATGGCTTTCCTGTGACTGGAATAAAGAAGAGAAACGCCTCAGGAGTGAATTTGCTTATTATTTCTTCTTGCTTTCATCATATTGTGTGTGTGTGTGTGTGTGTGTGTGTGTGTATGTGTGTATCTGAGAGGTACTTCTAAAAGTTCAGGGAAAATGGAATGAAAATGTTGGTGCAAAATTTTTGGAATCTGTGCAAAGGGAGGATCTTTAAAAAGTTCACAGAAGGGGTAGATATTATGGTAGATAAGCCACCACTTGGGAACCAGAGTTGCTGGTTCAAGTCCCAGCTATTTTGCTTCTGATCCAGCTTCCTGCTAATGCATCTGGCACCCATGTGTGCAACCCAGATGAAATTCCTGGCTCCTGGCCTCTGCCTGGCCCAGCCCTGGCTTTTGAAGGCATTTGGGGATAGAACCAGTGGATCGGAGATTGCTTTCTGTCTCTTCCTCTCTCTTTGTCATTCTGTCATTTTACTTAGTAAATAAACTTGAAAAAGGTCACAGAAAATATATAGTGAAAAGACCCTTCATATATTTAAAAAAATTTTATACCAAAGTAAACATTTGCTTTGAATTTTCATTTACTTACTGTCATTTTATTGTAACACAGAAGAGAGATGGAGAGACAGGGAGATCTTCCATTGCTGGTTCTTTCACAAATACCTGCAACAACCAGGACTGGGCCAGGCCAAAGACAGGAACCCAGAACGCAATCTCAGTTTCCCACATATGGGTGTCAAGGACCCAAATACTTGAGCCTCCTAGAGTATGCATTAGCAGGAAGACCAATCAGAAGCAGAGGAGCTGGGACCTGGGCCAGGCTGTCTGATACGGGATGCAGATGTTCTAAGTGACAAATTATTTGCCACACCAAATGCCTGTCCTTACATTTAACCTTTTAATTCCATTTTCCAGGAATCTTTTGAAATACGTGTGTGTGTGTGTGTGTGTGTGTGTGTAATACACAGCGCTGCATGTATTTCTTCACATAGAGTTGCTTACTTACATTCTGTCGTGGGGCCGTGATTATTGCAGGTTGTTCATGCTGTTCCTGATTGGCATCAGCATCGCCTGGGTGCCCATTGTGCAGTCAGCCCAGAGTGGGCAGCTCTTTGATTACATCCAGTCCATCACCAGTTACTTGGGGCCGCCCATTGCTGCTGTCTTCCTGCTTGCTATTTTCTGGAAGAGAGTCAACGAGCCTGTGAGTATCTTTCTGACATATCTGGGAAAGCCCACCCAGCACGCGAGTTCCCGAGTGGGCGTGCATTTTATCCATGAGAGGGATTCAGTTTCTCAGAGCGCTTCGGTAGAAATGGATATTCTACTGAAGGCTTGCATTGGAAAGCTGCCAGGGCCCACTGGGGCTCTCTGAGAGGGAGCCTGAGCCCCTTGGGTGTTGGTACTGGGTCCACCGTCTCTCTCACTCCCCTCTCCTGGCTGTAGTCTCCCAACTATTGCTGTATGTTTTCTACCCAGTCTTGATGCTGGTGGGGACCACAAGTGCAGGTGCAGAGGTTCACCTGATTTTTCAAAGGAAAGAGAATTTTGGAATGAAGGCGTTGGGTTGATATTCTACACCAGTTATTGGATGCTTCACCACAATTATATTATGCATCCTTGTTTTGTGTTCCAGGTGAAATCATGTCACTGAATCATGATAGGCCCCCTGACAACTCTGATACAACATTCCGTAGCCATACTCTGGGCTCCTGGGCTCTAACTTCAGATGGCCTGGAGCTACCATTTCATCGTCATTCTTCTGCCTTTGTCTCCTCTCTCCCTACAGGAACACTAGAGTACTCAGCTGTTTTTTGAGTTCAGCATTAGTTGACCAAGGGTTTTCTTCCACAGGGAGCCTTTTGGGGGCTGGTCCTCGGATTTCTGATTGGGATTTCCCGTATGATTACCGAGTTTGCCTATGGAACCGGGAGCTGCATGGAACCCAGCAACTGCCCCACGATTATTTGTGGTGTGCACTACTTGTACTTTGCCATCATCCTCTTTGTCATTAGTATCATCACCGTTGTGGTTGTCTCCCTCTTCACCAAGCCCATTCCAGATGTGCATGTAAGTATCCATTTGTGAGACCCATCCTGCCCTTGTATCACATGGAGAAACCAAGACTAGGAGTTATCTCTTGAGTTCTATACAATTAAGGCACCAAAGAGTTGCCTGTAGAATTCAAGACATTTCTAATATTATGTCTTATGGATTCCATAACTTATAAGCAGGAGAAGTTTATTTGGCTTAAGGTTATGGAGGCTGAGCTCAAAGGGCTGCCCTGTGGCAAGGGCCCTGTGGAAGGCAGCACATGGCAAGAGAGCACAAGAGGGCTGGAGAATGCAGTCGTGAATTCATCATTGTATCAGCAACTTGCTCCTGGGACCCCAACACTAATCCAATCAGGACAGACTACCCATGAGCTACTCACTTCTTAAGGCCCCACCTCTTAGTCATGTCCCAATAGCAATTAAACTTCAGCATGAGTTTTGAAGGGGACATTGAAACCACGACACAATAACAAAGTCCAATTGGTTTAAGACTTAATAAATGGCCGGCGCCGCGGCTCACTAGGTTAATCCTTCGCCTAGCGGCACCGGCATACCGGGTTCTAGTCCCGGTCGGGGCGCCGGATTCTGTCCCGGTTGCCCCTCTTCCAGGCCAGCTCTCTGCTGTGGCCAGGGAGTGCAGTGGAGGATGGCCCAGGTGCTTGGGCCCTGCACCCCATGGGAGACCAGGAAAAGCACCTGGCTCCTGGCTCCTGCCATCAGATCAGCGTGGTGCGCCTGCCGCAGCGCGCCGGCCGCGGCAGCCATTGGAGGGTGAACCAACGGCAAAGGAAGACCTTTCTCTCTGTCTCTCTCTCTCACTGTCCTCTCTGCCTGTAAAAAAAAAAAAAAGACTTAATAATTATAAGTGTTCTTCTAGATGCCTGCATTGACTTAAGGTTCATCTAAGCCTTCCCAATTCAAATAAAGAAGACCAGTTGTGAGCCATTTTCACCATAGGCAATGGAGTCTAGTGACTCAACACAAGGACGTCTCACCCTTTCGTGGTTCCAAGGGAGCAGAACGAGACAGTTAACTCAAGATCATACTTGTCTATAAAGAAAGAGAAAGGTTTTGTTAACACTTTATGCAATCATACACAAATACAAGGATACTTCAAAAAGTCTACTAAAAATGATTAACTGAATAATTAACAATGTGTAAGTGTGTGTGTGTGTGTGTGTGTGTGTGTATTATTCAACTATCAAAAAGAATGAAATTGCATCATTTGGAGCAAAATGGATGGAACTGAAGGACATCATGTTGAACAAATTAAGCCAGATACAGAAAGATAGATGTTATATGTTCTCTCTTAAATGTGAGAGCTAAAATTAAAAAAAAAAAAACTCAATATAAATGCATAATGTTGTTTACTAGAGGCTGGAAGGGATAGAAGATTTTTGGATTAAAAGAACAGGGGAAGCTGAGTGTGGTTCATTAAATGTGACAAAGATACTAATAAATGTTAGTGAGAGAAATGGGTGTTGGAATGTGGAAAAATATAAGGAAACAAAATAAAAATAAAATATAAACAAAAACAAGATTAAAAATATGAGTTTATTTTGGCACAAAATTTTTGAAATCCATGCATACTTTTCTCATAATGTGTATTTTCCATGTATTATTGAAAATATTTTTTGCACCAAAACAAGCTTATAATTCCGATTTCATTTCTCACAACTTTCAAAAGTACCCTTGTGCAAGGGTCATAGAATCCCTAAGAGACCTTAAACTTCACAGCCAAATTTTGAAGAGCTGTGAAAAACTTTAGGGCCAATGAAGACTGCTTTTGTAGCAGCAGAACCACTGTCATGCCTATTGACTTGATCTGTCATAAGCCTTCTTTATATTGTATTCATGGCTTCCCCATGTCTCAATCTTTGAAAATATCATAATGTCCTGGAAATCAGTAAATCAGGAATCTCTAGAACATATGTAAATGCATAGAGACTGAACAACATGCTCCTGAATGAACAGTGGGTCATTGAAAAAAATCAAAAAATTTCTGGAAACAAATGAAGATGATGAAACAACATATCAAAGCATATGGGATAGAGCAAAAGCAGTGCTAAGAAGAAAGTTTATAGCAATTGGTTCCTACAACAAGAAATTGGAAGGGCACCAAATAAATGAGCTATCAATGCATCTCAAGGATCTAGAAAAACAACAGCAAACCAAACCCAAAACTAGTAAGAAAAAAGAAGTAATTAAAATTAGAGAAGAAATCAACAAAATTGAAACCAAAAAACAATGCAAAAGATCAGCAAAACGAAGAGTTGGTTTTTCGAAAAAAAAAAAAAATAAAATTGATACACCATTGGCCCAACTAACCAAAAAAGGGGAGAGAAGACCCAAATCAATAAAATTAGAGATGAAAAAGGAAATGTAAGAACAGACACCACAGAAAGAAAAAGAATCACCAGAAATTTCTACAGAGAGCTGTATTCCAGCAAATTGGAAACCTAGAAGAAATGGATAGATTCCTGGACACATGCAACCTACCTAAATTGAGCCATGAAGACACAGAAAACCTAAACAGACCCATAACAAAGATGCAAATTGAATCAGTAATAAAGACTCTTCCAACAAAGTAAAGCCCAGGACAGATGGCTTCACTGCTGAATTCTAACAGACTTTAAAAAACTAACTCCAATTTTTCTCAAGCTATTCAAAACAATTGAAAGGGAGGGAATCCTCCCAAATTCTTTCTATGAAACCAGCATCACCTTAATTCCTAAACCTGAAAAAGCTGCAACAGAGAAAGAGAACTACAAACCAATTTCCCTGATGAACATAGAAGCAAAAATGCTCAACAGAATTCTATCCAATGTAATCCAACGACTCATCAGAAAGATCATTCACCCAGACCAATTGGGATTTACCCCTGGTATGCATGGATGGTTCAGCATTTGCAAATCAATCAATGTGATACATCACATTAACAAACTGAAGAATAAAACCATATGATTATCACAATAGATGCAGAGAAAGCATTTGATAAAATACAACACGCTTTCATGATGAAAACTCTAAGCAAATTGGGTGTAGAAGGAACATTCCTCAACACAGTCAAGGCAATTTATGAAAAACCCACACCCAGCATCCTACTGAATGGGGAAAATGATTGTTTCTTTTGCAGTGTAGAAGCTTTTCAGTTTGATGTAGTCCCATTTGTTGATCTTGGCTTTACTTGCCTGTGCCTCTGGGTTTGGTTTTGTTTTTTTTTTTGTTTTTGTTTTTTTTTTTTACAGGCAGAGTGGACAGTGAGAGAGAGAGAGACAGAGAGAAAGGTCTTCCTTTGCCGTTGGTTCACACTCCAATGGCCGCCGCGGCCGGTGCACCGCGCTGATCCGATGGCAGGAGCCAGGTGCTTCTCCTGGTCTCCCATGGGGTGCAGGGCCCAAGCACTTGGGCCATCCTCCACTGCACTTCCTGGCCACAGCAGAGAGCTGGCCTGGAAGAGGGGCAACTGGGACAGAATCCGGCGCCCCGACCGGGACTAGAACCTGGTTTGCCGGCGCCACAGGTGGAGGATTAGCCTGTTGAGCCGCGGTGCCGGCCTTCTTTTTTTCTTTTCTTTCTTTCTTTCTTTTTTTTTTTTTTCAGATTTACTTCTTTATTTGAAAGGCAGAGTTACAGAGTGGCAGAGGCAGAGAGAGAGTGAGGTCTTCCATCTGCTGGTTCATTCCTAGATGGCCACAATGGCTGGAGCTGTGCCTATCTGAAGCCAGGAGCCAGGAGCTTTTTCTGGGTCTCCCATGCAGGAGCAGGGGCCCAAGCACTTGGGCCATCTTCTACTGCTTTCCCAGGCCATAGCAGAGAGCTGGATCAGAAGTGGAGCAGCTGGGACTCAAATTAGACCCCATAAGGGATGCGGGCACTGCAGATGGCAGCTTTTACCCATTACACCACAGCACTAGCCCCAGTATATCATTCTTAATAATTTGTTTGACAGGCTTTAAGTTAGAAAATACATTATATTAGCAGGCATTTCTTTCTTTTTTGTGTTTGCCTTTTAATTTTAAAAAAGTTTAACTCCCACATATAGGAGAGAACATGAGGTATTTGTCTTTCTGTGTCTGGCTTATTTCACTCAACATGATGTCCTCAGGTTTCAATCATTCGATGTAAATGATAGAATTTCATGTATATATATGCAAACACACACATTTCACATTTTCTTTATCCATTCATCTGATGATGGACACTGTGGCTGATTCCATATTCTGACTATTGTGCACAGTGCTGCTATAAACATGGTGGTGCAGGAATCTCTTTGATATAACGTTTTTTTTTTTTTTTTTTTTTGAATATACCCAGAAGTGGCACTGCTGGTTCATATAGCAAGTCTATTCCTATGTTTTTAAGAAATCTCACACTGTTTTCCGTGGTGTCTGTTCCCACCAACAGTGTTTAACAGGAAGTCTTATGTCCTGGTGTGAAAGTTTTTTGAAATCCATGAATAGACTTTTCATGATATGCACGTCCATGAACTTTTTGAGGACCCCTCATATTCATGCACTTTAAAATATTTTGCAACAAAATACACTTACTTTTGATTTTTTTCATGAGTTTTCTGAATTACCCTTATATGATTTACATCTAAATTCCCATCCCAACATACTTGTACTTAGAGATAATGCTGTGGGTAGGACGGTTATCTACATTTTTGTAGCTACTGAGAGGGCGAATCCCATCTCCTTTTTTTTTTTTTTTTTTTGGACAGGCAGAGTTAGACAGTGAGAGACAGAGAGACAGAGAGAAAGGTCTTCCTTCCGTTGGTTCACCCCTCGCGCTGTGCTGATCTGAAGCCAGGAGCCAGGTGCTTCCTCCTGGTCTCCCATGTATGTGGGTGCAGGGCCCATGCATTTGGGCCATCCTCCACTGCACTCCCAGGCCACAGCAGAGAGCTGGACTGGAAGAGGAGCAACCGGAACAGAATCCGGTGCCTCAACCAGGACTAGAACCCGGGATGCCGGTGCCACAGGCAGAGAATTAGCCTAGTGAGCCGCGGCGCCAGCCCCATCTCCTTTCTTGATGCATATCTCTTTGTTCTCCCAACGTCTTGGTCCAAGACCCTTTTTGGATCTTTCTGTTAACCTGTCTGGCTTTCTGTGCAGCTCTATCGTCTGTGCTGGAGCCTACGTAATAGCAAAGAGGAGCGCATTGACTTGGATGCAGGAGAGGAAGACATTCAAGAAGCTCCAGAGGAGGCCACTGACACAGGTAATTGATGCCTTATAGCTGGTTACCAAGCCAAGAAAATTACTCCTATGTCAGCAAACCTTATCAAAGCCTTCACTAAATGCCTTTGTCAAAGGTCAGATCTCTCTTTGAGAAGCAAGAGAGGAGCAGAGTGGGGGTAAGATGAGCAAATACGCCTTGGGAGGTTCCTCCTCGGAGGCCTGGTCAAGGGGAGGAGGGAGGTTCAGAATTGTTCCACTTACCGCATACCTCATATTGTACAGTGCTCAGTAAGTGTGGGTGAAGAATTTCTCACCCTGTTTTTATTTGAGGCATCATGAGGGATAAGAGAAGAGTTGGAGGTCTTTTGTTGCAGCCTATGAACTGAGAGTAGATAGAACCAGACATATTCAGTTCTTGTGACATCAGGTTAATGGGATGAGATGAAATCTTGGAATCTTATGTTGTACCATATCAGATTTAGAGAATTTGAAAGCCCAATGAGAGGATGCTTAGTCGTTGCCCTGAGACTTATCCTTGGAGTTCTTTCTTCAACTTCCGTGTTATACCTTTTCCTCCCAACATGGGGGAGATGCACACATGGTTATGGAGATGTGTGTTATGCAGAAGCATGGGAACTCAAGGTCGTATGGTCTTCAGCTGAGCTGGAGGTCTCATCACTCCATCTAAAAGTCAGCACAGGTGCATCAGAACAAGTTCTGAATCTGGTAAGGAACATCCTAGGGTCATGGCTTTGGAAAGGGCCCTCGAGGTCATTTGGTCTTACCATCTCATTTGACAGACATGCAGATTGAGACCCAGGGAGAGAGAGGTTTGGCCTATGGTCCCAAATCTGATAGAATCTGCTCCTGATTACTAAAGATCTTTCAGTTCTGAAATTTGTGACTGCAATAGATGCAGAGCCACAGGCAGCTGACCATGGTTCAGAAAACGGGCAATGCTTTCCTGCTTTCATGGAGCAGGCAGGCAGTACCTCTACCTCTAAAAATGTCTCCATGATGAATAAGAATATCATAGATTATAAAAGAACATGGATAAGGAGGGTTTCTTTTAGCGTTGATAGACTTTAATGTGAAAGAAGGGATTATTTTTGCATCAGTGGACTTTAGGTGGTGTAGAAAGAACCCATACAATTTTGACTCAGAATAAGGAATAAGGATGGTACAGAGATGGATTACAGGATTTGGAATCAGACAGGACTGGGATTGAATCCTGACTTCTTAGTACCCTGGGGAAGAGAACCCTTTTTCTAAAGCTAGGTTCCTCACTTAAAAGCATTCGAAATGATAGCCAATGGTTCAGCACTGTTGAAAACACTAGATGAAATAATGCTCCACTATAGGAATTGGCTATAATTATCATCATCATGATTGCTTTTTGAAAATTTTTAAGAAGATTTATTTATTTATTTGAAAGTCAGAGTTACACACACACACACACACACACAGAGAGAGAGAGAGAGAGAGAGAGAGGTCTTCCATCCAATGTTTCACTCCCCAATTGGCTGCAATGGCCAGAGCTGAGACGATCCAAAGCCAGGAGGCAAGAGCTTCTTCTGGGTTTTCCACATGGGTGCAGGGGCCCAAGGACTTGGGCCATCTTCTACTGCTTTCCCAGGCCATAGCAGAGAGCTGGATCAGAAGAGGAGCAGCTGGGTCTCGAACCAGCACCCACATGGGATGCTGGCGCTTCAGGCCAGGGCGTTAACCCACTGCACCACAGTGCCGGCCTCCATGATTGCTTTTAAGAGAGAGTTTTTTTTTTTTTTTTTGATGGAGTGGTCCAGAAAAGAATGAGCAGCAAGTGTTCCTCTATCAGAGGTGCTATAGAAGAACCCAGGCATTGGCAAGAGAGTTGGTGTGGTGACTGCCAAGGTCCATGCATTACTCAAATTCTGCTGTTTCTTGGTGAATGCAGAGTGAAATCAGACTGAACACCCCACCTTGCTGAAGCACTGTAGGCTAAGCTGTGTTGAGGGAGCTGGGTGATGCACTCACCGTTCTCTGAGAACAGCAGCACGAGGGAGACTTGCAGCTCCTTCACCGAAGTCATATACTCATCATTGTCATCACCATCACTGTGGTGATTGGAAATGACAGGATTATAACACAGTTGTAAATATCCTACTATAGTGATTCATGTTAGCATCACACCATCCTTTTAAGGCAGATAATGCAAGTATAATTCTTCCAATTTTACAGATAAAGGAAATAAGACAAAGAGACTGTCCCAAGACCACTCAACTTTTTGTCAACCCAGAGAGCCATATTTCTCACTTGGGCTTGCTGGTGAGCCCAACTCCTTGCCCTCCCTTCTGCCTTCTACTATGAATGAATCACATGGGAGCTGCATAAGGATACTTTCCGTTCTAATGTGTATGAGAGAAAAGAGAGAGAAGGAATGGAACGAGACAAATACCTTTTGACATCTACTATTTACTAGATGCTCACTCATTAAATCTCTTCCTAAATGTTCATTCATACAATGTTAAAGAAACCCAAGGAACAGAGAGATGAGTTAACAAGGCTACGAAGAGGGATTTTGGTCTCAGTTCTTATACGGGTATGGACCTGATCATTAAGGTTCTTCGCAGTTTTATTTATTTATTTATTTATTTATTTATTTTGACAGGCAGAGTGGACAGTGAGAGAGAGAGACAGAAAGAAAGGTCTTCCTTTGCCATTGGTTCACCCTCCAATGGCCGCTGCGGCCGGCGCGCTGCGGCCGGCGCACCGCGCTGATCCGATGGCAGGAGCCAGGAGCCAGGTGCTTCTCCTGGTCTTCCATGGGGTGCAGGGCCCAAGCACCTGGGCCATCCTCCACTGCACTCCCTGGCCACAGCAGAGAGCTGGCCTGGAAGAGGGGCAACCAGGACAGAATCCGGCGCCCCAGCCGGGGCTAGAACCCGGTGTGCCGGCGCCGCTAGGTGGAGGATTAGCCTTGAGCCGCGGCGCCGGCCAAGGTTCTTCGCAGTTCTAAAATCCTGTGATTCTTTCAAAAAATTCTGAGATTATAAAAATGAGAAAATGCAGAGCAGTGGTCTCCAAGTATAGGAAAATAGAGTGTACTTGATCTCCTATTTAGTGAGTGGTAGAGTTGGGCTTGAAAAACCAGGTGTATCTACTTCCATTGTCACACCAGGGCACAGAGGAAGGAGTCGGTGCCCTGGTGAGCCTCCCATTTGAGGGTCAGGCCAGCTGCATGGCTGGATTCAACAGTGCTGAGTTGCAGCATCAGATGTTAAGCCCTGGAAGTGTTGGTCACTTCTTGCCTGAATCAGCATCTGCTAGTAACAGTTCTTACCCTGCACCAGGGTGGACTGTGAAGCCTCAGAATTGACAGGTGTAGCCAGTGCACTCCCAAATCATCCCAGCCAAACAGGTATGAGTTTATATATTTCAGAAATGGCTTTTCCATGTTCTTGGAAAAATGGCATGAAAAAATAAGCTTATTGAAACTGAACTTCATGAATAATTTTCTCATATATGCATTTCCATGAACTTTTCAAAGACCCCTCATATGCATAGATTTAATAATTTTATATCAAAATCACTACATTTCCCATGAACTTAAAAATTATTTGAGAGAGAGCGAGAAAGAGAGAATGAGAGAGAAAGAGAGAGTTTACTCTCATCTGCTGGTTCACTCCCCAATGCCTGTAACAGTTGGTGCAGGGCCAGCCTAAAGCTAGCACTGGGGAACTCCATCCAGGTCTCCCACATGGGTGTCGGGGAGCCAACTATTTGAGTTGTCCCTGCTGCCTCCCAGGGTCTGCATTAGCAAGAAGCTGGAATCACAAGTGGAGCCAGGACTCAGATCCAGGGATTGATAGGTGATGCTAGCAACCTAATTGTCCCCATTTTCCTCAAACTTTTTGAATTATATTGTATAATTGTGTGCCGCAATTCCCCAGCCCATTATTGACATCTCTGTCTCATAGACCAGGTTCCGGCTTTTCTGTTCTAAATCAAAACGAATGCCTTATGCATTGGGCCTGGTAGAGATAAAACATAGGCTAGCTAGCTGGTCATAATGGTGAAAGAATACTTGTTTAATTACAGTTCATTTGAACTTTTGTGCCCTTCTCCTTCCTGAAAATAAGACAACTGGGACGTCTTGGCAGAAATGTGGGGGCTCCGTGGTGTGCTGTCTTCCTTGGGAAACTTTTCTAGTTCCCTGCTTCTGTTTCCAGTAATCCATCCTCTCTCTCTCTCTCTCTGTCCTCCTTCTTCCTTCCTTCCCTTCCTTCCATCCTTCTTTCTTTCAGATTTATTTATGTATTTGAAAGGGGGAGAGAGAGAGGGAGAGGGAGAGATTTTCCACCTGCTGGTTCACCCCCCAAATGGCTGCAACAGCCAGAGCTGAGCTGATCTGAAGCCAGGAGCTTCTGTAGGTTCTCTCATATGAGTGCAGGGATCCTAGCACTTGGTCCATCTGCTGCTGCTTTCCCAGGTGCATTAGCAGGGAGCTGGATTGGAAGTGGAGCAGCTGGGACTCGAACCAGTGCTCATATAGGATCCTGGCATTGCAGGCAGTGGCTTTACCTGCTACGCTGCAGCACCAGCCCCAGAAATTCCCTATTTTTCTCTCTCTCTTTTTAAATTATTTATTTATTTGAAACACAGAGTTGGGGGTGGGGGAGAGAGAGAGAGAGAGACAGAGAGACAGAGGTCTTTCATCTACTGGATCACTCCCCACAAGGCTGCCACTGCCAGGGCTGGACCAGGCCAAAATCAGGGGCCAAGAACCTCATCCAGGTCTCCCATGAGGGTGGCAGGGACCCAAGCACTTGGGTCCGCTGCTTTCCCAGGCACATTAGCTGGGAGCTGGATCGGAAGCAGAGCAGCCAGGACTCTGCTATGGGATGCCGGCATCGCAGGTGGCAGCTTAACCCTCTGTGCCACGTCAGTCCCTCTAATACTCCTTTTGTGCTTTTTTTTTTTTTTAATCCCGACACAGAAGTTCCTAAGAAGAAGAAAGGATTCTTCAGGCGGGCCTATGACCTGTTTTGTGGGCTGGACCAGGATAAGGGACCCAAGATGACCAAGGAGGAGGAGGCTGCCATGAAGCTGAAGCTCACAGACACCTCCGAGCACCCTCTGTGGAGGACCGTGGTGAACATCAACGGTGTCATCTTGCTGGCCGTGGCTGTCTTCTGCTACGCGTACTTTGCCTGAGTCCCGGCCGCTGCTGCCACTCGGCAAGGCTGGCGTGTGTACTCTCTGCCTGCCTTTCATCCCATGCTGCGGTGGCGAAGGGGAATCAATCCCTTGCAAAGTTTGCCCCATTTGGATAAATGTCTATATGTAAATTACAGGCTGGTTGGAGGAAAATCGTTAGTTGGCTGTTCACTTGCGTGTTTGAAGCCAGTCTGATCCAGTTGTGTGGGCCTATCAGAGCTGCAGATGGAAAATTCTCCTTAGATCCAGACAAAGGCAAAGAAGAAGCCCCATGGTGTCTGAGCAAGGCCCTCGCAGGTGGATTCCAACAGATCAACCTCGATGGTCGTACTTGAATGTTATTATAAGTGTGTCGGTCTCCCTGGTCTTTGCCCTTTTCCATGTATAACCTCTTTCTCCTATATTTTTTAAAAGAAAACTTTCCCACCTGTCATCATACCTCTGTCAAGTTTCCCCAGCACAAGAAAAGTCAACCTGCTAAACGGAGGAATGCGTGGGAGCTGTGGATGGGAGCTTGATGGGGTCCCTGGCCCCGTTGTTTGCTCTTTGAAATGGTGCTGGGGGTGGAAGTCCTGAAGTCCTTAACTCAAGGGGAGACCCCCAGGAACCAGCCTCAGCCCACTCAGTGGAAAGCAGGTGCTCACGAATGCAGGGGCTTTTCTGGTCTTCTTAACAGTGTCCATTGCAAGTTCCCAGGGTTTGGGATTTCATTCATTGTGGCCTTCCCTGGGCCTGGGCCACTCATCCATGTTTGCTGATTAAATGGATGTCGTAGGCATTTTTCTATAAACAAGCACGTAATTTTTAAGCCCAGCCTGTGGTGGACCCTTTCTTGCGGCTGCACAAGACCAGATCTTGTGCTCTCTGGTGAATATAACCAATCAGAATGCAGGCCCCCTCTGCCTCCTGGTGCTGAGGTCAATCCATGAGCTTAGGAAGTGACACTGTGTCCCAGGATAGAGCAGACGCACCTGCTGGGAGCATCCGTCATTTAAAGCAGCCTACACTGAAATGATTAGCCTGGGATTCTCCTTCTCATGAATCCACAGGACCACAGCAGTTCCTTTCTGAGGTGGTCTGGTAACCACGCTTAGGGTTGGTGGATTCTGCTCCAGACGTGTAGCCAAGAGGAGCATATTTCTTGCTGCATTGTTTTCCTAGGTGGAAATTCCTTTCATTTCATTTAATGCATTAAGTGTTTGAATTTCACCTGGGCAATCTTAATAATACAAGGGCGATTAAAAATGTTCATCCGAAAATGGAATTGAAAGATGTTTGTTTTTGGTGTGAAAAATTTTTGAGGGGCTGGCATTGTGGTGCTGTGGGTTGAGCCGCTGCTGGCAGTGCTGGCATCTCGTGTCAAAGCACTGCTTTGAGTTCCGGCTGATCCGCTTTGGATCCAGCTCCCTGCTGTGCGCCTGGAAAGGCCGTGGGAGATGGCTCAAGTGCTTGGGCCTCTGCACCCATGTGGGAGCCCAACCATAACTGCTGCAGCCAGCTGGGGAGTGAACCAGATGAAAGATCTCTCTCCCCACCCCACCCCAAGTCACTTTGCCCTTCAAATAAGTAAAACAACAAATCTTCAAAAAATTTTTTTTTAAATTCACACATAGATTTTTTTCCACAAGACACATTTATTTTTCATGAAGACCTCTCCTTCACATGGATTTCAGCATTCTTTGCTTTGAATTAAACTTGCCTTTTAATTCCATTCTCCACAAACTTTTTTAGGTGACCTCATATTGTACCATAATCCCATTGAAGTGAAGGAAAAGTCACCATTTTCATATGGCTGATTTCAGTGTACCTGGGAAAGAGCTGGGGTTCCTGGGTATACAAATGGCTCAGCACATAAAGGAACGGCTTGTTCCTGTGGAAGGAAATAACAGCACCAGTTGCAGTTGCCTTCTCATTCCCCTGCATCCGGGAGGGCAAGAAGCAAAAGTGGCTTATTCCGCGGCTCGAGCATTCCTCAGCCTTGGGTGGAGTTTGTGGTGTTCTGAGCGTTGAGAGAGTAAAGGCGAGCACTAAGTGCTGGTGCATGGAGTAGGCAAGGTATCTAGATGGCCCTGGGTCCCATTCCCGACTTTCTGATTGCATCTCAACTGTGGGTTTTTCTCTTTGAAGACCACTTTCTGTGGTTGTGACAAGGACACCTTGGAAAGGGGGTGAGACCCCATCCAGAAGCTCTGTGAAGCTGCGTTATAGTCCCACAACTCAAAATGTATTATTCGATAAAGATAAAAACACTCCAAAATCAGAACGTCTAGACATGCTAGATACATAGATAGGGAACAGCGGATAGCAAGAGATAAGGATTCGGAAGCTGGAAGCCAGCGTAGCTGAGAGCGGAAGCCAGCAACTCAAACGCTTTAAAAACAGGTGGCTGTATGGAGACGATTTCAAAACCTACAGTCAACCTGGAGTAAGTCCGTCTGCCTGATGTTGCTTTAAAGGAGATGAGCCACTCGGATAACCGGGGACCAGCAAATGATAGCTTGTACTATGGCAGCCAATGAAAAGGACCTTCTTGATGCACAACTGTCGCCAGCAATGTACGCATGCCTTTCCCAGTCAGGTGCAGGGCTTCTCAGGTGGCCATCTCTAGCCAGGAACTGCTGGAGCACCTGCTTCAGCAGATTTCGGGACCTCACCCCAGAGTTTTTGATTTAGCAGACCCAGCGTGGGGCCTGGGAATGAGGACTTCTGATAAGCTCCCAGGTCTGGACCTCCAGTTAGAGTTAATTTCTGCAGGGTTTCTATATCACCACCAAGGCAGGCAGAACAGAGGGACCCCTCCCCCCCGTTTTTTTCCTAAGGCCTCCTTTGAGATTTTGAGTGGCATCTCAGAGCTAAAAAATAATTTCTGAAGCCAAGGTGTGGGTATGGGCGAGGCACGTTATGACGCTAGCTTCAAGGGAAAATTCTACCACAATATATGTTAGGGGCCATCTACTCGATTCTGGCCTCCTTTCTATGGGCTCAAACCTGACAATTTATTTTTATTTTTAAACTGACAAATAAAAATCGTGTACATTGATGGCATGCAACATGATGTTTAGACATATATATGTGTGTACCTCGTGGAATGACTGAATCAAGCTAATTAGAATTACTTCATGTATGAGGAGTGCAAGTCAAAAATGTTCATGGAAATAGATTTATAAGATAAATTCATTTTGGTGCCAATTTTTTTTGAGGTCCATGCATACCAGGGGTCTTCCAGAGGTCCTTGAAAAATGCATGGGGTGGAAAAAAAAACTATGCATGGATTTTTGCAGCAAAATGGATGGGACTGGAAGCCGTTAGGTGACATAAAAGAAGCCAGACCAAAGTACAAATATTGTGAGTTCTCCCTCACATGGGGCCGTTAAAAATAGTTGCTCTGAACTTAGAAGAATAATTACTGGAGGCTGAAAAGGATGAGGGGGCAGATAGAAGTAATAAGTTGGAGTGTTTAATAGCAGTTCGCAATGATGTTTACACACTGAAGAACAGGCAGAGAGAAGCTTGTGGGTCCCAAACATAAAGTAAGGGAATGGAAATTACAACATCCTGATTTGGTCAGTTTATGCTGTATACATACGTTGAAATTTTACATTGTACCACTGTAAAAGTATAAGTACGACATGTTACTAAGATGATTTTTCTGTCACAATAAAATTATTTTTAATGCAATTTTCCATGAGCTTTTTGAAATGTCCTTGTACTTTTATTATTATCATTTTTTTTGTGGTGAGAACATTTAAAATCTCCTTGGCAATTTTTAAGCATATGGTCTATTGCCATTAGGTCGAATCACCACGCTGTACAACAGACTTGGTGCACTTAGCTCCACCTAACTGAAATCTGGTGTGCTCTGACCAACACCACACTCCCCCCACCCGACCCCCAGCCATTCAAGTCTCCAGGTCTATGACTTGAATTCTTTTAGACCCCATGTATAAGTGAGATCGTGCAGTATCTATCTTTGTATGACAAGGCCACCCTCCACTGCTTTCCCAGGTGCATTAACAGAGAGCGGGATCAGGAATGGAGCAGCCAGGACTCTGACCCTTCAGCAGCTTGACTTCTGTTTTCTATGTGGGTCTTCTCCTGTGCCATGTATCTGTAGTGGCCAGCCCTCAAAGACAGTTTCCCAGGTGGGGGTTTTGGCCAACAGGGGGATGTGGTGAGAAAGCACTGACATTAGCTGGTTTTCTTCTGTGGGCCAGGCCCTTTAAGCAACCTCAAAGGACCCCATCTGATCTTTAAAAATGTTTTTAATTGTACATATTTATAGCGCACAATGCAATAACTCAATACATGTATTTAATGTATGTAGCTCAAATCAGCTGTTAGCTTTTTCATTTCCTTAAAAGTTAAAATTTCTTTAGATTGACACTTAATAATTCTATGTATGTGGTGTGCAATATGACATTTCAATTAATGTATGTATACAGTGTGTCCAAATCAGGGGGATTAGTGTTCCCCTTTCATTGTCTTTACTTTGGGATTGGGACCTTCACGCTCCTCTCTTCTCTTTGCTCAGAAAATTTACACTAGGATATTGTGAACTGCAGTCACCCCACTGTTCTGTGGAACGTTAGAGTCCCATTCATTCGACTGGACTGGGCTTGGTTGTGGGGGAGGGAGATATAGGGAGAATGACTTTATCCAATTTTTAAAAAGATATTTTTTAAAGGCAGTGTGTGTGGGGGTGGGGGAAAAAAAGAGGGAGAGAGGATCTTTCATATACTGGTTTAATCTCCAAATGGCTGCTATGGCCAGTGCTGGGCCAGGCTGAATCTAGGAGCCTGGAACTCCATCCATGTCTCCTACATGAGTGGGCAGGAGCCCAGGCGCTTGGGCCATCCTCCACTGCTTTCCCAGGTGCATTAGCAGAGAGCTGGATCAGGAACAGAGCAGCCAGGACTCTAGCGGCACTCCAATAGGGGATGATGGCATTGCAGGTGCATCTTAGCCCACTGTGCCACAACACCAACCCCCCAGTTTACAATTCTGTTTCTTTTTGCATAGCACCCACTTCAGATCACCTTTTTCACAAGAGCCCCTGGTTCGGAAACCCACAAGATGTGTACTTTATGAAAATTCATTTGTTAAGTCCTAACGCTTATTACTTCGGAATGTGACTGTGTTAGGATATAGGATCTTAGGGAAAAAAACCTAATTGATTGATTTATCTGTTTGAAAGGTAGGAAGGGAGATCTCCCAAATGCTGATTCCCCAAAAGCCTGAAATGGCTGGGACTGTGCCAACTAGGAACTCAACCTGGCTCTCTCACTTGGTGGCAGGGACCCAACTCCTTGAGCTGTCACCTGCTGCCTCCCAGGTTGTGCGCTGGCAGGGAGTTGGAATTGTGAGCAAAGCTGGGACTCAAAGCAGACACTTCAGTATGGGATGTGGTTATCCCAAGCAGTGTCTTAACTGCTACCCAACCCGGGATATGGGGTGTTCATTGCTTTTAAAGTGTGTGTGTGTGTGTGTGTGTGAGAGAGAGAGAGAGAGAGAGAGAGAGAACAATAAAATTCCACACCCATTCCTGATGAAAAAGCTCTCAACAAATTTGATATTGAATGAACATACTACCACATTAGAGGCTGTGTATGACAAACACATGGCTAATAGCTTACCGAACTGGGAGAAGTTGGAATTTTTTTTTCTGAAATATGGAACAAGACAAGGATGTCCAATTCATTACATTTATTCAACATAGTACTGGGAGTTCTAGCCAGAGCGACCAGAAAAGAGAAAGAAAACAAAGGCATCCAAATTGGAGGAAGAAGTCAAATTGTCCTTTTTTTCAAGTAAATATGATTTTATGTACATAAAACTCTAAAGACTTCACCCCAAAACTGTTAAAACCAATAAAAATAAATGAATACAGTAAAGTTTGAGGATCTAAAATAAACACACAAAAATCAGTAGTGTATTTATTTTAAAATAAATTTTGAATGAATTACAGAGAGAAGTAGAGATAGAGAGAGAGAGAGAGGTCTTCCATCTGCTGGTTCACTCCCCAAATGGCCACAACAGCTGGAGCTGAGCTGATCTGAAGTCAAGAACCAGGAGCTTCTTCTGGGTCTCCCACATGGGTGCAGGGGCCCAAGGACTTCGGCCATCTTCTACTGCTTTTCCAGGCTACAGCATAGAGCTGGATCAGAAGAGGAGCAGCTGGGACTAGAACTGTCACTCATATGGGATGCCAGCACTTCAAGCTGGGGCTTTAACCCACTGCACCACAGCACCACTCCTAGTAGTGTGTTTATATGCCAAAAGTAAACTAGCTGAAAAAGAAATCAAGAAAGCAAACTCAGTTTTACAAAGATTTGTGTATTTATTTGAAAGAGTCACACACACACACACACACACACACACAGTTCTTTCATCCTCTGGTTCACTCTGCAAATGGTGGCAATGACTGGGACTGGGCCATCCAAAGCAAGGAGCCTGGAATTCCACATGGGTGACAGGAGTTCAAACATTTGGGCCATCTCTGCTGCTTTCCCAGGTGCATTAGCAGGGAGCTGGATCAAAAGTGGAGCTCCTAGGACTGGAACCAGTACTTATAGGGGATGGTGGCATCCCAGGCAGTGGCTTAGTCCACTGTGCCTCAATGTTGGCACCCAAAAGCAATCTCATTTATTTATTTATTTATTTAACTTTTATTTAATGAATATAAATGTCCAAAGTACGGCTCATGGATTACAATGGCTTCTCCCCCACAATGTCCCTCCCACCTGCAACCCTCCCCTTTCCCACTCCCTCTCCCCTTCCATTCACATCAAGATTCATTTTCGATTCTCTTAATATACAGAAGATCAGTTTAGTATACATTAAGTAAAGATTTCAACAGTTTTCTCCCACACAGAAACATAAAGTGAAAAATAATAGATGATTTTTTAAATGGTGATGAAATCAGATCAGACCTATTGTCATGTTTAATCCCAGTGAGAGTCAAGTTGGGAATTGAAAATCTTCTGTTTTCTGACGATCAGTTTAGAAGATCAGTTTAGTATACATTAAGTAAAGATTTCAACAGTTTGCACCCCCATAGAAACACAAAGTGAAATATACTGTTTGAGTACTCGTTATAGCATTAAATCTCAATGTACAGCATATTAAGGACAGAGATCCTACATGAGGAGTAAGTGCACAGTGACTCCTGTTGTTGACTTTACAAATTGACACTCCTGTTTATCGCATCAGTAATCTCCCTATGCTCCAGTCATGAGATTCCAAGTTCCTTCAGAGAAAGGTACCTCCTTCTTTGAAGACCTGTTCTTTCCACTGGGATCTCACTCACAGAGATCTTTCACTTAGGTCTTTTTTTTTTTTTTGCCAGAGTGTCTTGGCTTTCCATGCCTGAAATACTCTCATGGGCTTTTCAGCCAGATCCGAATGGCTTTAGGGCTGATTCTGAGGCCAGAGTGCTGTTTAGGACATCTGCCATTCTATGAATCTGCTGAGTATCTCACTTCCCATGTTGGATCACTCTCCCCTTTATTTATTCTATCGGTTAGTATTAGCAGGTACTAGACTTATTTATGTGCTCCCTTTGACTCTTAGTCCTTTCATTATGATCAATTGTGAACTGAAATTGATCACTTGGAATAGTGAGATGGCATTGGCACATGCCACCTTGATGGGATTGAACTGGAATCCCCTGGTATGTTTCTAACTCTACCATTTGGGGCAAGTCAGCTTGAGCATGTCCCAAATTGTACATCTCTTCCCTCTCTTATTCCCATTCTTATGTTTAACAGGGATCACATTTCAGTTAAATTTCAACACTTAAGAGTAACTGTGTATTAATTACAGAATTAAACCAGTCATATTAAGTAGAACAGACAAAAAAAAAAACTACTAAGAGGGATAATGTACTAAGTTGTTCATTAATAGTCAGGGCTATGCTGATCAAGTCACGGTTTCTCATAGTGTCCATTTCACTTCAACAGGTTTCCTTTTTGGTGTTCAGTCAGTTGTCACCGATCAGGGAGAACATATGGTATTTGTCCCTTTGGGACTGGCTTATTTCATTCAGCATGATGTGTTCCAGATTCCTCCATTTTGTTGCAAATGACTGGATTTCGTTGTTTCTTACTGCGGTATAGTATTCTAAAGAGTACATATCCCATAATTTCTTTATCCAGTCTACCGTTGATGGGCATTTAGGTTGGTTCCAGGTCTTGGCTATTGTGAATTGTGCTGCAATAAACATTAGGGTGCAGATCGCTTTTTTGTTTGCCAATTTAAATTCCTTTGGGTAAATTCCAAGGAGTGGGATGGCTGGGTCAAACGGCAGGGTTATATTCAGGTTTCTGAGGAATCTCCAGACTGACTTCTATAGTGGCTTGACCAGTTTGCATTCCCACCAACAGTGGGTTAGTGTCCCTTTTTCCCCACATCCTCGCCAGCATCTATTGTTGGTAGATTTCTGTATGTGAGCCATTCTAACCGGGGTGAGGTGAAACCTCATTGTGGTTTTGATTTGCATTTTCCTGATGGCTAGTGACCTTGAACATTTTTTCATGTGCCTGTTGGCCATTTGGATTTCCTCTTTTGAAAAATGTCTATTGAAGTCCTTGGCCCATCTCTTAAGTGGGTTGTTGGTTTTGTTTTTGTGGAGTTTCTTGATCTCTTTGTAGATTCTGGTTATTAACCCTTTATCTGTTGCA